GGCCGCGATTTCTGATATTATTTTTCTGCGAAAACTTCGTTGACCTTTGGAGACATCATTAATATAAATAATTTTTATGGCCGTTAAATAAGAAATGTTTCTTTCACAAGAAATGTATAAAATTACAGTACTAAACAGACGATAGGTCGCCTAACTCGCCGTAGCGTGACGCTAGACGGCGAAAAATATATATTTAATTATAATAAAGTTACAATAAATTAAGTTAATATATAATTATATATACAGTACCTAATTTATATATAATTATATGAACAGACGATACTAAACTCAATTTATCCGCCTAAACGTCCGTAGCGTGGCCCTACGGACGGCGGGAAAGTAGTTTGCCCGATGAGGTTTTACATATTATAGGAGTTATTTTTACCGTTGTTTACGGATACTGCCACAATTTTTGTAGGAATAATAACTATAGGAAACGGTTTTATATGGGGATCTACTGTATATAATTTTTAAGTTTTTGCTTTCAATTAATAAAATGTTTATTAAATAGTGAAAATTTGTAAAACGAAACAATTGTGAGTAATGAAATTTATTTTAATTGGCAAATACAGAGAACGAATGCATTATAGTAAGCATCTCCTGTAGCGAATCCATGACGCTTTATTTTGATTCCGCACTCAATGTAATACATTGAGAAAAAAACAGATTTTTATTACCTGTGGCACCCGGTTTTACTCGTAGAAATTTCCAGCAGAAAGGTGTACTTACACACCGTTAAATCTGCCCATAAGCAATATCTATTTTGATACTCGGTTAATATCATTTGATATACAGTGGACCCCCTGTAACACTGTTGATTATTCCGTGTTATATGAATTCCATGTTGTACGAGTCACTTACATTTTACAAATACATGAGCCGTTCACAGCCCGGCACACGTATTTGTAAAATCTAAGTGACTCGTACAACATGGAATGCATATAAAACGGAATAATCATCAGTGTTATGGGGGGGGGTCGACTGTACTGTATTAGTAGCACGGATTATACTGCACTTGCTCCGCTCCTGTATCATCAGAGACGTTCTCTGATTGGTTGTTGGTGGAAACGGTTGTGTTTACAAAAACTAATGTTTGCAAACTTCCTTTTCGGGTAAATACGTTTTGTGACGTCAAAACCGGCCAACGTTGCGCAGAGAATACGATGTACTGTACATTTCAGTTTAGAGCCGCGGATCCCGACCTTCTCCGATATTCGATTTTTGTTCGAATGACGTTCATAAACGTAAAACAAATTCATTTTCGTGTGATTTAAATATTGATTTCCCTGTATTCACTAATAGCGAAAAATACTAGAATCGAAGCTTTAACCGCCTGCCTGCTAGTATTTGGCCGCCTTCGCCCGATTACGTGAATCATTAGTAGATTTATAACTTAACTCGACCGATAAGAATTTACTGGTACGTTTTTATAATAGTTCTGTATAGTTGATAGAAGTTTAAAAAATTCCATTAAAATATTTGATATTTTTATTCCCATCTTATATTACTTATGGATTTTAATGCTAAACCAGTGATATTACGATTTATGTATACGTTGTCGTAAAAATTTGTCTTTCCACTTTTTTCCCAAGACTACAAATATTCAAGTACAAAGTAACTGGTTTCAACTTATTTCTACTTAAGAATTTTATTTAAACAAAACATTAACCGAACCAATCTCTAGCCGAGTACAATGGGGACTGGTTTCTTCGTAATATTAGACGTAATAAAGACAGAAATTTCCCATTTCAACGAGAGCGATCGAAAAGTTGTAAATGTTGGAAATTTCCGTGGACACCTGGTCTTAAAACGAATTAGTTAAAAAACAAATGATTTTTAAGTTTAACAAATTTACATTTTTATAGCTATGGTGAGAAACGTTTTAAATCTACAACAATCCTGTCGCGTCCTTTGAGATATACTAGTGATGCGACAAAAGAGGCATTTGACATTAACCTGTTTCAGCACCCTCGGGATTTGGCACGCTTGCATTCAGTGCACACCTACCAAGATTGCTCTGGTTCCATCCACGAGCCACTGGTAGAGAGCAATTTAACTAAGTGGATTGTTTTAAGATTTAAAATGTAAAAAATATTTTATGTTATTTTTATGTACGTTTCTTCACAAAACTATATTTATAATTTTCTTTAAAATTATATTCATACAATTGAATATTTTGTACCAGGTATGTAGGGGAAGGTGGGGCAGTATGAGGACGTTAACGTTTGAAAAATAATAAGATGGCAACCATTTAATGAGAACAATAATGTTTTTTATTCTCGGCAACTACAACATTTGGTAATACAGTAGAGCGTCGTTTATCCGAATCAATTGGGGACTGGGGTTGTTCGAATAACCGATTTTGTACGAAAAAATATATTAATCTATCCCATGTTGAAATTTCGTCGATGTTAAGCCTAACGTAAACTTTTTAAAATAATAATCGTGGCTATTGTATCGTTAAAAATGATTTCTTTATGTTTTACAAACGAAATAAATACATTGAAAAATATAAAAACAAATAAAAATTATACTTTAGGCCGACTGGAATTCTTTCGGATAACCGACGTTCGGATAA